GCGAGTGCAGAAACAATGACGGCTTTTCGTGATCCTGCTGCTTCAATTTTGCGCAGCAGGATGAAAAACGAAAAAGGATTATGCGAAAATGTTAATCATTTTATCTACCGCTGCTCGCATGCAGTGGCTTAGTCCAGCTCTTTATTTGCAAACACAAAGGAGTGCTTTTGGAAATTAATTATTTTAAATGGATCCTGCTGCTGTGTAATTATTCAAGTAAGCAGCTTTAATTTTACCGATTAAATATTTTTAATTAATTAATTGAACATGTTAAATGTATTTTCATTTGTAAAGATTGGGAATTATCCGTAATTATCAGTAGCAAACTGAGTTATGTTCCAACTACTTTTATTCTATGAGGATCAATGCTTCGATTAACGGTAAACCAGTTTTACAATATGATTACCGAAATTTCGGTACTTTTTTTACTCGGAAAAATTTCCGAATATTCGATAGTTATGTTGCACATAAAAATCTGTTTTACCAATTATAACTAAAATCCTATGAGTGGTAAGATCCCCAGAAAATTAAGTTCTTCAATAGTACGTCAAAAATGAATTTAGATATGGTCAAACAATTTTATTAATTGAAATAATGTAACAGAAAAAGTCTCATTGATTTAAATATTGAAATTTCTTTTTCAGAGCATTAAATTAATAATGTTAACACAGTGTCTGTCAAACTTTTTTAGATCACAACAAATCAAAATTAAATATACACTAGGTCCTCTTTTTATCCGTACTCTTTTTATGCGGTTTTGAAGTTATGTGGTTTTTATTTCAAGAAGCATTTTTTTAAATAACTATTTTAGGCCATTTTGACACGTTTTGACAAACCATTTCATCGAAAAAGATGATAATTCTGAACGAGCATTCAAGTTTCAACGCGAGCTTCAGAATTTCATTTCTGGATATCAGGAATTGTACAAAAAAATAGCAAAGCCATCGCAAAGTTTAATCACTGATTATATTGTCAAAGGGAAAAAATCAACATGCGAAGTTAAGACTAATTTTACTTGTGAAAAATCATTATCTTCAGAACATAGATCTGATATGCTGACTATCTCTTCTAGTGATGAAAGTGATTTCGAACCAGTTCGCAAATTATGCCGAACACTCTCATATAGAGACGATAATTCTAAAGAAAAAAATATGAAGAAAGATTAACTTGTTTTCTGTAAAATTATTCCGTATAAATTTAGAAGGAATATTTTAAGATTATATTTTTCTGAAATTTAATACTTGTCTATGATTGTTAACGTTTTTATAAAATTATGAATAAACATTTCAGAAAGAATATAGTAAGACTAATTATTTTTCTGAAATTTAATTATCTCTTTTTTATGCGATTTTCGGTATATTGTAACTCATTGATTTAGTTTTATGCGGTTTTAAAAAATTATGGAACGTATCCTTTATTTTTATATGCGATTTATTTTTATGGGTTTTCCTGTGGAACGTATCTACCGCATAAAAAGAGAACCAAGTGTATATCAATAGAAATAAATTCTTCAAAAACATCAATTGATTTTGAAAAAGAATTAAGTCAAACATTTCTTCCTGCGTTAATGGTAAGTGTGCACTGTCGTATTTTACAAAAGGATTGATGATCCACTCGTACATTTGATGATACAGAGAGGTTTTCTAATGTCTTCTGCTATTCTGACAAAAATTCAAATTTGTTAGGATAACCGTCTACGCCTGGGAAGTTTTCATACTGTGAGTTTTTAACTTTCCTGGTGCACAGTTCTAACATGTCTGTAACAGCCTTTAATTTTCCTGTAATTGTGATAACATTTCGGTTTTGTGTTCAAATTTAAAACGCTCAAATTTTCAAATTGAGAAATGTTACTTTCAGTCACTAATTATCTCTTTTTATAAATTCAAATTCAGACATCTTCAAGATGACCTTAATCTGCTCGATATATGGTTAAGGAAATGGAGAATTGGTATAAACCAGTCCAAGTCGGTGCATGGAGAACAGCAAATATTTAAAAAAATCCAAGTAGTCCAATCTAAATTCACCATCTAGATTCTAGATGCACCTGGTACATCGCCAACAGGAGACTGCATCAGAACTATGAAATAAAAACAGTGAAAGAAGTTGCCAACGATTTCTCCAAAACATACACGAATAGGCTTAATTGGCTTACGAATCCATTTGACCGCCAATGGATTCGTATGCCAATTAAGCCTATACGTGTACCTTCTGGTCAACGACGTGACAACGAGAAGATTAAAGCGTTGCAAGTCCTTGGATCTTCAATTTAGATTTAACTAAACAAAAATATTATAAAAAATTATAAACAAACGTCATGGAGGTGCCACCGGGTAGCAACTTCCTAATCTCAAAAGCGAACCGATTTGATAAATATTCAGTTGCATAGATGTAAATAAAAATTGACAACAAAAAAATATTTTATTTATATTTCGAATTCGCACCTAAACTATGTTAGGAATATGCATATGACGGACCACTCATATGCTGGACCATCAACAGAGGGCGCTGTACGGACGGGCACTACCAACTGCAGGACTTGCATCACCAACTGAAGTATCGAAACCGACGAGGAGACTTATGCAGATCCAAGCGACGGATGTGCCCGCATACCGAGCTCAACACATCTATAGCGCGCTCTGCCGACTATACTACTTACTATCGAATATATATATAATATATAAATATTCGTATGTATTGAAATATATTATATATCAATACAAAGTCCATATTAGTGTTGTTTCTAACAAACTAACATAACCAAAGTAACTTAACTACTTGGCGGGCTAATTTATATTTTGGTGATTTATTGTTGCAATAAATATTATTATTTAAATGTGTGTAAATTACTAATTTTATTATTGTCCACTTAATCAATAAACATAGATATAATCAAAATATTTTTTTTTAATGAATAATTTGAAAAAAAAATCCAAACTGCATAGGTTTATTTTTTTTTTGTTCGTATTGGATTTGTGGTACAAACGAAAATATTCATGAAATTTAGTGAATCTTTGATCACCAATATTACATAAAATGTAATTTCCAAATTTTCAGAAAACTAGATGAATAATTACATTCCTTTAAAAAAAATTGATTAAGATTAACAATTATAATCATATTATTATTGCAACAAGGAAGAGGAGAAACAAGTACTTATATTTATTTCTTGAAAAAGAAATAGAATTTTCAAAAAGGATTTTAGATTAATAGACAATTAGATTAATATTAAAAAACCAGTTAATCATTAAATATTACAATAGGAAATCAAACACACAAATTGTATATTTTTTTAGTCTTTTTATTAAATAACATTATTTTTGTATCTGGAGGCACATACAAACGAAACATAAATATAATGATCATCAGTAAACAGACAGTTCTTTGATATAGATAGAAATATATAGAGAGAACAGAAAAAAATGAACATCAGAAAAAAACGACGAATATTTATAATTGTGAAATGTTTTCTTCTTCATCTACATCTTCTATAGCATTAATACTAATTATTCTTTCAATATTTATCTTCGAGGATTGGGATTCGCTACGGAAGTCGAGAATAATAATGGAACAGAAAAAACGCAAACTTTAATTCGCGTTGGTTGTAGTTTTTATATAATCTTGTACCTACCACAAGAGTAAATGCATATAAAATCTTCAACATTAAGTACACGTTTCAGTTAAATATATCTCGTTATTAAGATGGGGAAAAAATACATACAACGGTTTTACTTGCATATTTCTTTTTTTTAATTTAATTGACAGTAGAACTGCTTGAAAACACTAAAAACGAGAAATAAAACCGCTTTTCGTTCGTATGGATGGAATTTTAGAATTACAATGAATTCAAAATTTAAACTAATATTGCTAATATTTCACGCAAGGGGGAATTACTTCTAGTTAAACATTTAGAATTCTTCAATATTCGCATCCCCACAAGTCCGAACCAATGACGATATATTTATTGTTTAAATATTATTGCGTTTACGAATAGCCTTTAAAAAAAATCGCAATGAAACGAATTTCTTATTATCTCGCTCATTCGACATTTTTTTTTATATTTCACATTTAAATATTTTCTGTTCATGGACCCTACGATTTTAAAATTCTCCAAAAAATCTAACATAAATAGATTGTCTTTTTTTCAATATAAAATTAAATATTTTTGCTACCAGCCAATATATTTTTTCCACTCTTAATTTCATCATCTCAAACTATCAATTTCAGATCAACAAAACAAACGCGATTAATATAATCTAAGTAAGATCATTTCATTTAAGCGTCATCTAAAGAATATAAGTAAGAAACAAACAAGAAAAATTATAATTATTTTTTGTGTCTTAAAACAAGCGGCGCGGCACTCACTACTCGAAAAATTCAACAGTATTTTTACAGTAATAAATATGTACATACATATATTATATATATTATTCATATTTTTTAATAATCATAATAATAATATTATCCATTAACTCTCGTCTTCTTTTCATCTGTTTTTACAAAAATATAATAATAATCAACACATTTGTTATATCTAGTGAGGAAATGAAATAAACATTTGTATAGATTTTTTTGAGCACCACAAACTTATTCCAGCTTGAAATGTATCTAATTCATATATAAAAAAAATATCGATATTTTCCAAAAAAGGATGCCCATAATATTAGAGAAATCACAAAAATATATGGCAAGTTTAATTAACTAACCAAGAAATTTAAAACAATATGTAATGCAAACATATTATCTCTTCAAATTTATATTGCGTAAATTAATGGTTGTAATTAATAACTAAGTAACAGCCGATATTAATAGTATCTTTGTTCTTATGATGTATGTATTCTTTAGAGAGGTAAGTAAAAGTGTTTGTGTAAATCGAATATTCTGTAAAATTCGACTTCGTTGCTGGGAACAGAGGAACCTCTTACCATCTATAAAAGTCAAAAGATAACATATGCAGGGCAGCTTCGATCGTTGTTTATCAAAAACAAAATTACTTTAAAAAAAATGTAATGTTTCCTCTCCTCAATGCGGGATCTTCAATGTATGTATTTAACGTGGCTGTTGTTGTTGTTGCTGTAATTGTTGTTGCCTGCCGTTAGGAGGCAAATGTAGTGTTCTATTTCCCCTTAAGAGAAAAATAATATTAGTATTGTGTTGGAATTTTGTGTAAAGCGATATTTACCTGGTTCTTCTGTTCCTGAAAAACTTGTCGTTTTGGTTGAGGCTGTGCTGTCTAGAAGGCGGTGATCTAAAAGGTGTCGGCTGTCCTCTGCCAGTTACTATTCGTGTATCTGCTAAAGAAATACGTAAAAAAATGTTATTGGTATACTGCTCATTTAGTAGAGTGTAAAGTAAATAAGCACTTACTTTGCATTGAATATGGTAATCCCTGATAAACTATTGGCTGCATTGAAATTCTTTGTGACCGTTCTATGTGCGTGTCATTAGCGGGTGTCGGCGATCTACTAGATCTATTAGTGACCGGAGTACTTGCTTTGATATTGTTCATCTAGCGAAGCAACGAACAAACGATGAACATATGAGAATATTGACAAAAACAGATAGAACCAAGTATTTAAGGATAAAGACTACTTACATTTCTAAACATCATTGGTGAGTAGTTCGATTGAGGTTGGACCATCGGCGGAGTCTCTGGCGTACTACGATGATACATTCCCTGATTGTTGTAGTTCGCAACGACGGTCATCGCCGGGGAACTGTTCTCTGTGCTGCTCTGACTAGACTTGTGCTCATTAAATTTCCCTTTGAGAGATGCCTGCTGCTTTCCGAGCTCCAATTTGTTGTTACAAGCACCGCCGCTTATATTCATTTGCGCCATATTCTGAGACAACCCGGTCTGATCGAAAACTGGGTATTGAGTATTTGATGCGGAATTGATACAGCTGTTCGGAGTCGGTACGTTCGTAGGGTAGGCGGCAACATTGTGTGCAGGATACACAGAGTTCGGATACATCTGACCGTGCTGCTGAGTGTACATGTTGGGGTATATCACTGGATTGGATTGACTAGGTGGGTACATTACTGGAACCGAATGATGAGAATATATTTGTCCGACTTCTGCGTTCTGCGCTTGTGGAGGAGGTAGGTAATTGGGTGGGTACGAAATAAATGATCCCTGTTGAGGAACGGGCACGGTGAATCGTGGTGGCTGGGCGTTCATCGGAGGCGGAGTGTTCTGATAATAAGGCAATGAAGGCTGGTTCCAAACCTGCTGTTGATATGTCATATGTTGCGACGGCACGTTTGGATCGTAATAGTTGGCAACCTCTGCTCCTTCCAACCTGCTATCATAAGGAACGGGTACTTGAGTGGTGTATGGTGCAAACATAATGCATGGCTGTTGATACATGGGCTGGACGTTGTTATCAGGATTGTAGGTTTGCCCGAAAACCGGGTATTGCAAGGATTGGGGCGCAGCATGAGGTTGCATCGCTTGCTGCGGTATGTTGACTTCGTAACTGAAGCTCCTGGGCGGCGGTGTTGGCGGAGTTGTTGGAGTGTATGGTAAAATTGGACTAGTCGCAATGTTCGTCTTTTTAATCGGCGAAGATCTCGTGCGTTTCTTCGGAGATTGCGCTCTCTCGCGGATGCTCTTTGTCGGCGATGGGGGAGGTTTCGAAGCCGATTTCAACTCTGGAAGTGGATTTTCTGGATCGAAAAGATAAATAGATCCGTCCTGATTCGTCATCGGTTTTCCTGTCTGCGGATTGATTATAACGCTTCCTTTCGGAACGCTGTTGATATTCGTAACAGCCCACACAACCTGGCTGTTATCAGAATCATCATGATGTAGATCACTGACATTGGTGGCAGTGCTATTGGTGGAATCTTGTCGATTCGAATCTCCAGACAAATAAGGTGTTGACGTCGGTGAAGGGGTAACTGACTCGGATCTTTGTGACTGAGTCTTATAACCAGAACTGGAAGGACTCAAGCGCCAAACGGAACTTAAAGCTGAATCTGCAAGTCCATCATTAATTCATAATCCTAATTATATACACAAGAACTTGCCTTGTTTTGTGAGCAGCCTAGGCCCGGCGCTATGCGTCGACATCATACTATCACCGCGCGGCAAGACCACACCGTATCCACCAAAGCTATAACTCTTGGCCACGCAAGGCCTGTGCGTCTCTTCGCCAGTCTCTTCAGACTGTACCTTGAGCAATCGACCTGTCGACCTTCCATTCATATGATACTCCGAGTTGTTCTTGTAACGCATGACGCTCTCGCCTTCTGTGCTGTACCAATAAATTTCGGACCAAGTCAGATCGTCAGAAGACCCGCAATTGTGCATCTGCAAATTTAACAAATATTAAAAGTTCTAAAAAAAATGTGAGCTTGCGCAGTAAAATAACGCACCTCCTTGTTAAAAATTCTTCGTCTTACTTTCTCATACTCCTCCTCCCTCTCCTCAAAACTCTTACTACGTTTGCTTTCCATGCTAGATTGTCTCTCCGGGGACTTAAAATTATAATCTTCAACACTATTTGAATCCCTTTTAAGGATTGATCGGCGCGGCTCTTCGCTGAAGACGATGTCCTCCTTAATGTGATGCTTGAACTCAACGTCAGGTATCCGAGTATTCTTGGTCTTGTTGACTACCACGCATTTACCAGATGGTTCTATGTTATGATCCATTCCGAAGTAAGCTGCGCAGCGATGGACCAACATGCGCTGGTAGCTCGACATGGGCGGAAATTTGTAATGCGTTTTTCTATGTAAAAAAAAAGGTTAATATATTATAAAATAACAATATAAAATATTGATAACTTACCCGCTGTCTTTAGCTAATTGCGTTAATTCTTCTTCTATTCGCAACATAAGAGCTCTATCTTTGGCGTTTCTATTTAAGGTTTCTGGTATAAATTTTTCTAAATCGACACCAGTTGTATCTGTGTACTGTTCGGAACTGTTATCTACAATCGAGTTATTTGTAAATATCTACAATGCGTGAATTCATAAATAATGTTACCTCTACTCAAGCACGGAGAGTTGGAGGAGCTACCATCGAAGCTCCCTTGCGAAGAACTCTGTTGTCGCAACTTTCCTCTAACGTTGTCTCTGTTAACAGTCAATAATGTATTTACTGTAGCCGTGTTGTTATTATGACTCGTAATGCTAATGTTATTATTGTGGTTTCGTTCTTTATTCCTGGTGCAGCTACTGGAGCATTCGCATTTGGTGACGTTACTAGTTTCCTGGACAACAACCTCGGTCTTCTGCCGATTATTGAATCGCTCCAGATTCTGTTTGTTCAGCCTATTCACATTCAGACTGGTAGCATCTAGTTCGGTAAATTCGGTTTTGTGGTCGGATGTGGGTGATGGTACGATTGTAGTCGTGGGAGAAAGGTTAGGCGTATGGCAAGGGGAATTACCTTTGCTTATCGGAGGGCTTAAGACTAGAACAGGTCGTAAAGGTGATGACGGAGGAATAGGAGATTGAAGGGAATCGTCGATGCATTGAAGGTCTGCTGAAGGAGTTAGCTTGATGCACGGCGAGTTTAAAGCAGTGGGCGTGGGCTCCCGGGGCGGAGACGTTTCCTCCCTCATGGCATGGCTCCTTCCCAGCACCTTTAGCTTAGAAATATTCTATTAACACATACATAAAAAAGAATGTTAATTTCTCTGAAAATTTCATGGAAATAGTGTTTTGCTACTAACGCGTACTCTTGACTGTTGTGGCACGCTCTCGCCTGATTCCGATTGGCCCTCCATGTTTGACGAAACGCCTCTCTGTTGCATTGTTGCTGTTAACTAATACTCCTCTGTAATAAAAACCTTTAAACAAATTTAAAATAAGTCTCCCTCTTCTCAAAAAAACTATTACATAAAATTTATTACTTTATAAATATTATAATTAATTTAAGTTAATAAACTATGTATATGGATACCCTGCATATATAACATAACTATTAATAAATTTAAAAGATTTGAACACATTTTTTTTAGAAAAATATATGAGGATAAATTACAAAGTACTCAAAATCTAGCATTTGTAGCTAATAATAACTCTTTTCTATTTCATTTTCGATAGTTTAGTACATAAATCGTCCATAAAAATACTGTCCCTTACAGAATTTCAACTTTCGTAAGCTGTATAAAAATAAATACTATTTATTAAGCAAAATACATTTCAATTTGCTAAATAAATAGTATGTTCTTTTAAATTGGAAAATATTGAAATTGCTCTCGTAGAATAAATTACATTCTGTAATCTCGAATCAATAATCTCGAATCTCAAAGTCCATGAAAACGCAAAATATTTAATAAATAAAAGTTCTTACAAATTTCAAAATTTTGCATGTAAACCTGTTTTTAAAGAATCGTTAATCTAAGTATTAAAAGGAAATTAATTTGCTTTGAAAACGTCTGTACTATTAACATTTCAAAGGGTTCCTAGAGTCCATATATCGTGCTCATACGTACACACTTACAAACATGTAACTTGTTGAACATGTTGTACCTTACCAAAATATTTATTAGTTAATTAATTCAAGCCTCCTTCTACAAAGCACAAAATTATCTGCAAATTGCTTTCAATCTCTCCATCCATACGTGTGTGATATATTGCAAACTGAATCAAAGCGCGTCTGCACAGCGCACGATTTAATCCTGTTTATTTCGTATTAATATAATCTAATGATGCAAACACGGCATAAACGAATGTCGCTGCACGCTTCAACAATTAATTTGCTTTTAGCTTCAATAATTTAAATGTAAGTTAATTTATTTTCTAAAGTATATATGTTTCAAAAAAATATTAAGTATTGTTTAATGTTTATTAATAGTTTAAATTAGAAAGATATAAATAAATAATAACAATTAATTATATGTAATAACTTTTCATACATATACAAAGACCTATTGACTGCAGTCCTTCCGCCCAGTTTATAGTATTTATAAAGGACATAGTTTTCCAATAACTCCATTAAGGATTATTATAATACTCTGTAATCTATGAAATAAATTTATATGGTTACCAATTCAAATGACTGTTTTTCATACATTCTGCTGATAAAGATACATTTTTGCGATGCATATGAAAGGGCATGCATACATTATGCAAAACTGGTCACGATCATAAACATACATACATTCGAAGATAAAATCGTTATTCATTTTACCTATTTCTTTCGAGTTCCATAGGTAAACGATAAAAGGAAGTATGTTGACAGGATTCTAAATAGCAATTAAATATATCCACCCACCTGAAACAAAAGAAAAAATAATAATTATAGTAAAGTATTACAGTTATATACAATAAGATACATGTGTCTCATCAGTTCTACTCTTCATATTTATACAATTTAGAAAATTAAAACGAATGGATGTCAGGCGTATCAACTATTAAGAATTAAGTAATTTACTATAACGAACAGTTGCCAGTCATTAGTTTTCATGGAATTTGATGACACTAAATTGACAGCTAAAATTGCACGCTGTGCTGTCAATATACCAACTTAAATTAATGTATATCTCTATATTCGCATATTTTAGATACAATATAAACGCAATATTTAATGAAAATTGAAGGACCGTCTATTAAGATTGTAAATCACTTAAAAGAAAAACCTCTTAACTAGTTCCGGTGATAACGGTGATTTGAAACAAGTCGCTAATCGAAAGTTACTATTTTTACGATGGCTCATTAATTAACGACAGGAAACGTTTCTCTCCATAAACGAGTTATCCATCTGATTTATCGTCGAGTTGCGAATAATAAAATGCAAAACATAAATTGATGCCCCATTTACAATGAATAGGAGAGAAAATCATTCACCTATGTTATCCGACTTTAATGTCGTCCAGGAAGTTATTGAAACTATTAATAAGCAAATAGCAAACTTATACAAGTAAATTGTGCAATTAATCGATTATGCAATTAATCTTAATTAAGTAATTTTTAAAACAAATAAAACAATAATTTAAATGTAGATATAGAGGGAAGAGGTATTTTTATGTCTTTTGGTTTTTGGTTCAGATATAAAGCACGAGAGATATAACTGTGTACTTTTCCAATAGCACATGGCGCATATGATTAAACAGGACGCTAAACGCGATGTATCGATCCGTGGCACATTGCCCTATATTCCTGTAGGATCTGGGGGACCGCAGTTGGCAGCGCTGCCCTACGCTTCTCGAAATCCCTTCGCCTCTGCAGGGTCGACGACTGGGAAAATAAGAAGGTCGCCAAAAACTTTATATGTTAACCCATAGCATTTATGAACCATTACAGCAATAACAACACAACCTACAAGAATCAACACGAAACATGTTGCCCGTTATTACTATCCTTATTTTTTATATTTTAAGGTAAATAGATTTAGTGAAGAATTACTTTCTGTGAAGATGAAAAATAATTCTTTAAATTTTTTTTAGCAAGCACAAACTTTTTTTTTAATTAAAAATATATAATTTGCCACTTTGCCTCAAAAACCTAACCTTAAAAAGATACAGTTTCATATTCAATCAACCACTAAAATATTTTAAATAACTTAAAATGTAAATTATCTGTTTCCACTTAACTTAAAAATATATTAATTACGTTTGCATTAAGCTAATTATATTTAAATGATTGAACTATTTCATTTTAAATTACAGAAATAAATCAGGTTTTTATGTATACACCGGATTTAATATGTAAGCGTAATAAATATGCTAAACGACTATACCAAAGTGTACCCTCCTCTTTTGTTGAGAGACGGTGGTGGTTTTCATTTAAGACCCTACGTAAACCACGGTCCTTATCTACCTTGAATACAAATTCCGCCTTCCGGGAATACGTTTTCTTAATATGATAAGTGAAAATATATTGCTGCGACATCAAAATCTGTCTGAAAGTACAAAGGAAGAGGTCAAATCCCCGCGACGTTAAACTTAGACAGGAGCTTTATCCTAAGCAGATCCTATTCAGCCCTACCTCTCCTTCTTCCTAAAGTTTTCAATCCCCCCAACCGTTTCCAAGAAAAACCGAATCCTGTTAGAATAATTATTGTTTTCTAACAATTGCGACGTTTAATTTGATTGCACCAAATTTCTTTAATTGATATTATATACCCCGCGCATCCACCAGAATAAATCGATTGGGATTGCATTATTATTTAATTAATGCTAATAATTTATAATTATATTACTAATATAAATTTAACATCATTATATGGTGATTTATGTATGACATGAATACAATTACTTCTCAATTTGAAAGAAATCATATATAACAATAACTAGATTAATTTTATTATAAAGTTACCTATACAAATATAACCTTAGTTAAACATATTTTAACCATTTTTTGTAATAATCAAAAGTTTGGAATTCCAAAATTAGTTTTGAGCAAAATTGAAATATTTCATACAAATAAAACCTATGTAAGGTCAGATTTTTACCGGGGCCCGCTGAGGAGGGACGTCATTTAACATTTTAACTCACTAGAACACTAAATCAATGAGAACCATGAGCTTGTTTCTTTGCAACGAGACGGTTCCATCTGGGAGTTTGTGAGGACCATTGATCTTGAGTACGAAAGTAACCTAACCTAATACGAACTTTAACTAAACCTAACTCAACTTTATTTTACATTTTTAATGCAATCTCAAATCTAGTTTTGGGTAATTCAAACTGCAGAACACTAGTTCTGCGTATCCAATGTACATAAATCATGATTTCATAAACGTAAAGCAGTATCCAAACAAATTAAAATGCGGCAGTTCGCTAAAGGAATGCTTGTATTTTGCTTTCGTAATCCTTCCATCCTTCGAACAACAGACTCACCTCCAGTACGTGACTCGTTAAAGTCGAGATTTATCTGTATTTCTTTAACCTTATTCGGCAAAATCGGCAACGTGTTAATCCCGCAACGGAAGTCATCTAAATTGACTCAGCTGACGATCGTGAGGTCCCATTGTGGCGAGGAAGGTTTTAATTAATTTTAAATTTGCAGTCGAACATTTTACGAGGATCCTTTCATTGCGCGAATTAATTGAGAGCATCTTTTTATTTGTGTGTAGTGCTCTATTGTTCAAGTAGGTGCATATTGGAATAGTTTGGATAATAAAGTTCGTTTTGCTCAGAACTCCCTTCAGAGTATTAAATCGCATTATCATAATAATAAATCAAGCTTCCTTCTTTATTTTCTCTTTCTATAGTACCACAAATAAATGGCTTTTTTTCAATACCATTTTTATGCAGAATGGAAATGGAAAAGTTGTGGGGCAAATTCATTTATCTTTGTAGAAATACAGGGGGCGGCAAAAATTGAATTTACATTAATTACGTTCATAATTCATCTTCGATACTTTCATTATTTTTATTACAAATTAATTTATAGACAATATCATATAATGTATATAAAATTTGGAAATATTCTACGAAATGGTATTTCCGTTTAAAAATATCTATAATTAATATTTTTATTCTAAATAATGATCACATAGTTATTAAAATTCTTTACAATTAATATCGCCTTATAGATTTTTTTAATTAACTGAATGAATATAGAACAACGTTATCAAAATTAATTTTAATATCCAATTATCTATAATTTATTAAAATTTAATATATTTTTAATTATTTATGAAATGATTCGCAAATAATTAACAACAAATGTTATTCTCAAATATTATATAACTTGTCTTTGATATAGTTCCATTAAAAGTAGATGGTTCATTTTAACTTGGTATTAAGTTAATGAAACTTGATGACTGTTAAGTGAAAAAAAATAATCAATTAGTATACTCTAAAATTTATGTAGATCTAGAACATACCATGAGGAACAACAAATAAATAAAATATAAATTATCCAAACGTTAAGATTAGAAGTCAATACACCAATACTTCATATAGTACGAAAAATCGATTCCGGAATAATCGAGAAACTAAATACAATAGAAATAAACCATACAAAATAACTGTAAAGGAAAAAAACGATTATTTATGAATTAAAAAAAAATATTTTTGTGTATTTTTTTCAATTTGCTCAATTAAAATTTAGATTGTTTTAAAAATTTCAAACCGGGCGCACTATGCAAATTATGTTGAATTTCAAATGATAATTAAATAAAATACAATCAAAATCATCATCAAAATGTATACTTTTAGTACAATTTAAATAATTATTTTTTTTATATAATAATTACTATAGAACTGATAACACTTTAAAGTTGTTCAAATTCAAGTTGATGTATATTTCGTGTATCTTGTGTATATCTATATACTTAGTAGATTAGTATATATCTTACAGCAACAGATATTACTATAGTCGAGTAAAAAATAATGTAAGTTAAATTATGACAAAGTTAAAGTTTTATACTGTAAATTCTAACATACGTAAATTGTAGTAAATTCATTGATAGTTAATTATATTTGTTATACAAATAATTATTATTTTTACCTATAGGACAATTAATAAATAAAATTACATATATTACAAAAAATATAAGGAAATGATTATTTTGATAATCATTTCCTTATTATTTTGTAATTACATTTGCTACGCAAATGGTCACTTTTTTCTGCTTTGTCTTATTTGGAGAATAGATTAAATACAAACAAATCATATGTAAATTATTCACTAAAATTAATGTTTGACATTTGTTAGGCAAATAATAACTTACATGTATTACTTCTTGTAATAAATTATTACGCAGATAAAGGATATTAATTAATAGTTTCAAATAATGTTTTTGCAAATATTAAATCAGAAATAAATGTTTAATAAAATTTATAATCAAATTTTACTTTCGTTTAAATATCTTTCTTTTGTTACTTGACCTAAACTATTTGGCCAATAAATGAAATAAAAATATAGTATGAAAATATAAATTCTATTGAATTTCTAATCACCTAAATCAAAATATTAATTCAAAATATTAAGTTCTTACTTATTGCATTAAAATATTAATTTACTGATAAAGTAAATGGATATACAGTTAAATTATGATATGTTAATGACAATTTTGTTGAATTTCTTTCAATAATAAATATGGATGTTTTTAATTCCATGTAGTAATCATATTTAGTTAATGTTATTTTTCTGCTTTGTCGCATTTTACTAATAAATAAATTCATAAATCGTTTGGAAATTTATCAACAAAAATCAATTTAATAATATGTGCTACACTAATAGTTACTTACAGGTACTATTTTTTACACTAAATGATTATTTCGCGGATAAAGAGAACATTTTGACCAGTTTAGTTCAAACGAATAAATCACTTGGAATTTTATTGTTGTTGTTATTTATGGTGAAAGATGTGTTCTGGTTTTAGTTATACTGTAGTTTTGTAGTATTACATGTTATTTTGTCTGCGTGAATGCGGAGAGAAGGCGCGCGTCCCCGTCGGAGCCTCGCGAAATAATAAAGCGCTGAAAGCTGTGCGCCGACCATTTAAATGGATCGAGAACAGAGAAAGCGTCGACGTCGCAAGCTTCCAACCTCCTCTCGTGTGTTCCACTGAACTTGAATTACAACAACCCAACGTCACGACCCACACCTACCAACAACACGAACATTAAGGTCGTCCCAATACCTTTACTTTCATTTCCAAGTTACGCGAGCGAAATTCAGGCGAAATCGTTAAGCCGATCGCATAATATGTATATAGCCACACTACCATAACGATACAAGCAAAGCTCATGATGACTCACGAGGTCGCTTTCATTTCATGGTTATGTATTTATTACTTTGTTTATTTTTTATACTTGAAAATCGATAGTTTTAGTTTTTGAACGCACCCTTTGCAATTATCGATAACGACAATAATCGAAGGTAAGAGGAAAAAAAGCGTAGGAATAATAACGGCCGCAATGCATGTAATTTGGCACAGCTCCCACAATGAATTATTCAAATTGCGAGAGCTTTAATCTTCATTGTCAAGGCCGAAGCGTGCACCTAGGAAACAATGCAAGGATAATAACAAAAAAATGTTTCAACCGACAAACTGGTGAACGAAAATATTATTTCTGTTTGCTAGACATGCTTGCTTTTCTTTTCCTATTTCATTTGGAAAGATTATCGTTCTGGGCAGCAATTTCAATGATTCTGCATATCAAATGCCAAAAATTACATGTGGAAAAAACAAAAGTTTAAAAGGTCAAATACAGACACTGAAACATTTTCAGGGTAATTGTGCAAATTTAATAGTGAACCAAAAAAAAATTAATTTGGTTTTTGTTATTTTATTGCAGTCATTTAAAATATTAAAATGACTATTGCAATTCAATAAACAAGATATTGGTATTTATAAAATAAAAAATAAGAACGAATTTATATGAATTTAAAATATAGAAGATTCCACTAATTACGGTTATGTTCTCCTAATCAAATATTATGTAATATCAGTAAATATTGTTTTCATATGAATATTTTTCGGTTTATTTGGCATAATGAATGAAATCTGTAGAAAAACCAAGTGTACATTGTATTTTATGTTATGTTTTACTTTTCGTTCTGAAAATTTAAATAAATTAATATTACTTTAATGATAATTTCAAAGAAATGATAAAAGTAAAATAATTTGTTCAAGTTCTAATATATAAAAATAAAAACTTAAACGAAATTAAATATTAAAGTTTAATTAAAATTTCATTGCAGTTTTCTAAATATATATTTAAAAAAAATTCTAAAGTCGATAGCCATTTAGAAGATGTTATTTATTTAGAAATATTTAAAATTTCAACCATAAAATATATAATTAATACTGTATTTTCAACATTACTTTACATGAAAAATATGTACCACAAACCGTGCAGCAGATAAAATTTAGTAACTTTTAACTTTTGTACCTAATGAACAATAAGAATAACTTATATGGTTCTTTTAATAATGTTGTTAAGGTTACGATATTATTTCAACACACAATTTTGACATATTTTACATGCGATCAATTCCATGTTAATGAGATTAATTACAAAATAGAAGGACACTAAATTAAAATTAATTTGTGCTTACCGCGATTAGTTTAGTTCTGCTAGTTTAGTTGTTATACAAAAAAAATAGCTCAGTTCATTCAGAAAGCAGAATTATAGAATCTTTGAAAATTAAATATTTATACATATTGGTAAAATAAACAATTTTTTTGCTTCACTATGATTATATATTAATGAAAACAAAATAACTTAGAAAATGAGAACATTGACGTTTATTTGCAATGTACAAAATTCTTAGATATATTCTAAATATGAAATAATCACTGTTACTTTAACTGTCCATAAAAAATTGCATAATTAAACAGTATTCCCTCCTACATTGCAACATATAATATCTATGTTATTAAGTGCCATCCTGGAAATAATTTATACAATGAGAATAACGGTTATTTTCAAAATAAATAAAAAAAGGGTGGATATTTTTCACCTAAATTAAATATATTGTTGATTGCTGCAAATAATTTATTTGCTTTATATTTTAGACGATATTATTTGGAAAGGAATTGCTGATTAATAATGAATTAATTTAAGTAGTTAGTAGTTCATATGAAACAAATTTAATTGATTTAATCAAGCAAATAAAAAGACCATACAGACCTGGAAAATTAATTATTTATTTAAAAAAATGCAAATAAAAACTATTGGAAATGAATTTATTGTATTGTTGAAAGTACATCAATTTGAAACATATCTTTTTCAGTATGCATTGAAAGCGATTTTTTCAAAGAGTGTTAATAAATATCCAAAATATATTAACCAAAATGCTACAATTTTGAGCTCATAGCATAGATTTTGTGTGTTCATTTGTAAATGTAATTAACATCATAAATATGTGAATATAAAGCAATGTATTCTACAGAAAACTTTAGTAATAACAAGTTTTCAAAATATAATCATTTTCCAATTATAGACGTATTAATTTGTTTTCAGCGCTGAATTGGAATGCAATAATCAAACAATGACTTGTTATTCGAAACTTAATCAAACCTGAAATATGCGTGTTCGTTGTATGTTTTTAGAACGAATCCAGTTGAGATTGATTTAAGTCCTGAAGCGTCGCGATTAGCGCTTTACAAATTACCTGGAATTAATTAGAAGGCGTTATGATAAATCCTTATCAGAACGGCGAAATCGCGCGCTCACGTGACTAGTTTCTTTGTTCCGAGAAAATGTGAGAAAGAGAATGACCATAGAAGTGTTTGAATGGTAAAGAAGTAGAAAGAGAGAGAGAGATAGAATACGCCCACATTTGTTGCACGAATTAAATCGAACTGCGATGATGATGAGTCACAAATTGCCAAGGTCAGGCAGGGCTTAAAGTGATGATAACATTTGAAGGAAAAGGGCGGGAGGGAGAAATCCGCAGAAATCGGAGCGCCGTGATTCGCCCTCCACCTTCTTTTTTTTTTTCGTAATGTTTACTTTACCTTAATGCGATGGATTGATTAATTCTAATAATAAAAGCGGGACCTTTCGACGCTCCATTCTTCGAAGTATAACGTCCTTCTCTTTTATCAATTTTAATTCCCTTTTTTTAATACTTTTTTTATAGATGATGTTATTCGAATTCGAACAAACTTCCTTAACTACTTCTTCCAGGTATTTTATATAATGTATTTCTTTACATATTAATAAAAGTAAATTATTTTCTCTTCATAGAATACATTATTTGATCTCAATATATTAATTATATATGCAGATTATAAACTATTTCTCATATATCTTATATTTATTTAATTATCTCTACGATACACTGTGTTCACAGGAAAACCTATAAATTGAAATATATTTAAGTTACTCATGAAAATATTTGGTACAATTTACAACAAAAAGTTATATTTTAATAAGCAAATAAAATTGTTGGTAAAGTTTTGAAGCAAATATAAATAAAAAATATATTAATAAACCAATTATATATTTTATAATAATAATCTTTATTAGTCACAATTGTAACCAAAGGGCTATCGACCTAAGTCTTTCCGCCCTATATTTTTTTTATTAATCTATCTTTAATTTAATTAAATTAAAATTTGCATAATTTAAAATTTACTCTAAACAAATCTTAACTCAATTATCAAATAATATCCAATTTTCAAATTTCAATTTTCGTTTTAAAAGTCTTTATTAAAGGATTTTTTGCCACACTTACATTCGATAGAAAATCAATTAATCTTCAATAAAGAAATACAGACTTTCTATTTATTGAATTTCTTGTGTTTAATAAAACATATAACCTGTATATTTATATTAATTTTTAGTATGTTTATATTAAATATATTAACATTTATTGCACTCAGCTTAACGTATCAAAAACAAAATGAATTTATTAATTAACCATCTGCATAGAGCATTATCTTTATTATAAATGTATTAATTTATATTGTAAAAACCGGTAACCGCTGTAGATATTATGGTTTCAAAATGTTATTTAACTGAGTCATTAAATACAAAATAAGGTCGGGAATAAAGACTTAGGTTGATAACGATTTGGTCGGAATTAATAAAAAAAATATAAGAAATCAAAAAATCATTAACAAATCATAGATATTTAATGTACAATGAAAATACAACTCACTTAAAGCTTGTTAATTAAATTAAAATTAATTAGATAATAATAAAAAAATATCGTTTCTGACAAAACCATGTAAATTAGCATATATATTTTAAATTATTCGAATATAAATTATATAAATATTTACTAGATATATTTGTATAATTATTGTTAATTATATCAGTAAAACAATATCATTTCTACTAACGATTGATATTGAATGAATTTATTTAGATATTAAAAAATATGTGCATATTTGGTTTTGCAAAATAAGGCAAACATTTTCATTGACGACAGCTAAAATGGAAACTTTTTTTACACGCGATTAGTTTGTCTTATTTGCAAGTCGTGCTTGAAGTTTCAGGGCCACGGGCGACCTTTAAGACGAGATATTAATCACGAAAAAAGAACAGAAACGAAAGAAGAAAGAAACGCGTGGGTGGCGAATTTCATAAAATTATTTGCACGCACACGAGTATATTCCATAACAAATAGAAACTGTCGTAAGTATTCTAGGCTTTTAATGATTGAATCACATGTATTTTTCAGTTTCTTACAGTATCGAAGAATGCATCATAAGTACTTTGTAATTTTCTTGAACTTTTAGTTATCAATCTAAATTTTTGAAGAACGTATATGCAAGTAAAGAAGATGTATATCAAATAATCGAATTTGATTGATACGCCATCTCACGAGTAAACAACAAATTATTAGGTGAAACATAATTTTAAACACAAATTTAGTATATCATAATTTGTTACGTATCACAAAGAGAAGCAATAAAACTTGTTTTGTTATTGTATAAATATCGCGTTAATGAAGAATATAATAATTTATAGTAATTAGCTATTAGCTATAATAATATTTATTTAGTACATGTTATCGAA